ATATAGTTTCAACAGTCTCCCAAAGCAATGTGCATAATAGGTTTACAGGTGATCCAACTACACACTGTGGATTGATAGAATCTCTATAAAAAACATTGTAGTTGTGTAAAATTTGCAGTTTCACCGGCCTCACTCCCCTCGGCTTATCGAGGAGGAGACAAGCTGTGAAAATAAAGAAATGGACTTTGCAAATCTTAACCTGTCATCCTCTCCTGCTACAACTGGCCCGACGGTTGCTAGGTAATAAAGTTTTTTTCAGTTTTTATTATTATTATTATTAGTAGTAGTACTAGTAGTACGATTCAACGATGGCACAACATGTTTGAGGAATATTATTGGGAATCCCATCTCAGCTGTGTTTTTTTTTTTTTTTTTAAAGTTTTTTGGGATTTTCTTGTTTTTATTTAAAGAAAGCAAAAAACCCAAGGTGGACATGGAAGCCTGGGTTCAACACTCCACTGCATAGTCTCTCTGAGCGACACCCATCCCCTCCCCTCTGTACTGTACCCACCCCCACCCAGATATCCCACCCGCCCCACCCACATCTTTGTGCTGGTTAGACTAAAGCTTTTCAGGGTTTGTTTGTGTATTCATACTAAATGTAAAATGACAAAAAAAGACAGCAGATTCTCACAGTTTTTGTTTTTTCTTTTCTTTGTTTTTTGTTTTTTTTTTCCTTTTTTGTGTCAAAAAAATAGCCTTAGCGCTTTTGATCGACAGTAGGAGCCGTTGGGTGTGTTATGATATAATATAGCATTTGCTCACAGGATAGTTAAGTCAAGAGAAAAACAAAGAGTCACATTATTTTCCTTAAATATTAAAAAGTAGTAGAGTATCACCAGCCAGCTTCCCTCCTCTTTCTTTTCCTCTTTCCTTCCTTCCTTCTTTCCTCCCCTCTTCTGGCCCTGTTGGGAAGCTGCTTGGCAGCCCTGGGGATTGTACATTGCTCATGGTGGTTTTCACTTACTGAAAAGGTTTTCCTCACATCATCCTTTTGCAAATGACATTTTTTCTTCAAGCATTTAACATTGTCCAGCTTTTTAAATACACATACACACACATACGTACACAACAACCAAAACAGAAAAAAAAAAAAAAGGAAAAAAAAAAAAGTTATCAATCCCTTTCCTTCCCTCTCACCCTCCCTCCTCAATTTGGCATGATACTGTGTTTGAACAAAAACACACACAGTTTCTGTACGAGACTGGGTTGTTGCTCTTCCCACCCACACTCACTCACTCACACACACACACACACACACACACACACACACACACACACACACACACACACACACACACACACACACACACACACACACACACTAACAGTAGATTGGACGAGGCAGAAATAGAGCGAGATTAAGCTGGGAACCAAAACAGTAACATCAACATCAATGAGAGGCGTTTTACAGACATTGCTTGTCCCTTCTCTATCAGCAGAGCAACGCTGCCTCCTCGGCTGCTGATCAGGGCTCCGTTTTTGTCCCGCTAATGGTTAAGGTAAGGATACTGAGTAGGGACAAAACTTCTTCCAGATCAGCACTAGGAGGGAAGCACTGCCAAAATCAGAATGAATGAAGTGTAAAGTAATTTCATCGCGAGTGGAAAGGGAAAATAGACTATGAAGAGCTGACTTGCCCCAGATCTCCTGTCAGTTTTGCGTTTCCTCTCCTGTAGTTAAGCTTAGGAGCTGGAGAGGGAGAGCTGATCCTGGATAAGCCAGCAAAGAGGCAAGTGCAACCCTGTGTCCCTGAAAAGCCAGGAAGAACCAGCCGATCACAAGTCACATCCCCTTGCCTGAGTCACAACGAGCCAACAAGAAGCCTCGCCTCATTTCAGTCAGCCTTGAGATGCAAGCATCTCCACGGCAACAGCCACCGTCAATCACCATGACAACCAGGCGTGGTCAGAACAGTAGCTGAATACTTATTAAAATACAACAATAATGAGTAGTGGTTGCTTTATTTTCTTTTTTCTGCATGGCGGTTCCATGTTTGAGGCTGAGCAGGTGCCAGAGAAAGCAGACCGAGACGCCGGCCGTCATTTAAACTTTTAAAACCGTTTTCAGCTACATTCTGGCTCAGTTCAGGCGGCGTGGCGAGGTCGCCGCTCTGACCGGCCGGCCCAGTGAACAGGGAGAGGTAAACCTGGAGAGGGGGACTACACCCCCCTCCCTCTTCTCTCGCTCCCTCACTGGGACCAACAAAGCACCATCTTCTCTAATCATAGCGCACACACACACACACAAACTTCCACTTCAGTTGAGAACATGTAGATGTACACACACGCACGCACACGCACACACACACACACACACAGACTTTACCCTGTCACAATACTCACAGACGCACCTTCTACCTCAGACAGACCTGAAAATCCAAACTACACCACCACCGTCTGTCTGACCGACTGGTCTTTCCTCCAATCCACCCAAGTGCAAAATCCAAGGCTCCTCAGTTCAATTTGTCAAATTAAGTTAACTCAAAAACAAATGACAAAACATGGTTCAGATGTTCCACTTGATAACATTTGTTAAACAAGACAAAAATACAAATAAGATATATATATATAGTTTAAGCAAAGAGATCTGGAATTAAGTAAACTAATCTTTTGTATGATTTAATTATTTGGTAGAGAGCAGTTCAATACTGGCACACACCACTGTCAAGTCTGGCTAATACTCAAGGTTTCGTCTCACTACGTATGCTTTGAAGTTGTTAAATATTCACGGCTAAACTTAAAAACACAACTAAAGCCAACGTTTCTAGTACTTCTGAAATAAAAACCTATATTGGAGAGGGAAAACACACGCACGCACACACACACACACACACACACTCACACACACAGGCTTAACACAGAATAATTACACGATGAAGAAAAGAAATTAAGGTCCATGGCTTCGCTAATGCTGACTTCTCGTTCATGCACTCTCTGAAGCTTTTGTTTTTGCCCCGAAAAATTGTGCATCATAGTAACTAAACAATCACTGGTAGATTCTATTATTCACACGTGTATTTTGTTGACAAACACCACTGGTGGATTTACATTCACACTATTTGCACGGACAACCCCCCACCCCCCCAAACTCAACCCCTTTCCCCTCCAGATGTAGAACTCACATCTGCCGGTATGGAGCATCCAAAACACACACACGCACACACACGTTTCATCAGGTCAGGAACTTCAGATGAGTAACCCCACCCCCCCCCCCACCCCCCAAAGGAGAGAAAAAAAAAAAAAGAAAAGAAAGAAAGAAAAAGGAAAAAGAAAAAAGAAAAAAAAAGGAGAAAAAAACAACAACAAATAAAACAGTACAACAATACAATCATATTCTATTTGTAAACAGGTAGAAGCCACTTGACTTGTTGCATCTTCGGACACAATTAGGATCAAGGCAATGAAATGTGGACGACTTTTGCACTGTTAAAATATTATCTTCAACCAAAACAAGATTTTTAAGGTTTTTCTTCTTTCCTTTTTTCAAAACACCATTTGTGGCAATGAGAGCAATTAAAAAAAAAAGAAAGCAAGTAATATTTCGCATTTTGTTGTACTTAATTAAACATTTAAAACATTTTGTGAGACACGGGAAGAAAAAAAAATAGAGAGAAAAAAAAAAAAAACGCCTCTCAGTAGGCCACGTGAGAGGCTACAGTATGCATAGATACAGATTCGCCTTTCTCTTGGTTTTTAAGTCCGACAAGACAACATTTTCCACTGACAGTCACACACTCACACAATACACACTCCCCACTTTTGATTTTTTACATCAGTGGAGTGGAGGAGTGGAGGAAGAGGAGGAGAGAGGGAGCGATGGGTTTTCTACAGCCCGTCCTCCACCCCCCCACATTAGGACCCCCCTCCCCCCAAAAGACAGCATATCGAAAGCAGTGTGTTGAGCTTCTCCAGCTTAAAGCAGTTATTTGGCAGAGAAAAAAAATTTACAGACCTATACATCGTTTTCAGTGCTAGAAGTTGGATTTTCCTTTCCTACAAGGAGTAGTAGTTTTTTTTTTAATTCAACTACAAGGGGGGGAAAACTGGCTTGATTTCCTGAGAACCATTGCTGGTTATTTAGCAGACAAAGAGGAATAGTTCAAATAACCAACGCCATGGCCAAAAACACTGATCCGAATTCCCAGAGTTACAAAGCATCATCTTCATCCTCAGTAAGAGTTTAAATTTTTTGTCGATTTTCTCTTTGTTTTATAAATTTTTTTTTTAAGTTTTTTTAAAATAATTTTGAAATTTTTTTGTGTATTTTTTATTTTTTATTTTATTCCATCTTCTCTTTAAAATGAAGAATGAACACACGTTCCGCCTCCTAAGTCTTGTAAACAAGAGGTTGCAGTGTGGCACCTCCAAAACATTGAAAGCCTATTCTGAAAGTGCTGTTCCCCCCCTGCCCACCAGAGGGCCAGTGGGAGGGCTTGCTAGATAGGCCCCGCCCCTATATTAGGGTGGGCGGGGCTTGCTAGTCCCAGCTGCGGCTACAGTCCTTTGCACTGCAGAGCTCAACGTTCTTTAGTTTTAAAACAAAATTGGTGCAATACTTTTTAATGTCACTTTTACTATCACCAGATAATCCTCCTAAGTCAGCTTTTATTCTTCTTTAACTATCTGTTGATCTTGAACTCCACGACAACGCAGTAAGGTAGGCGTGCCAAGGCAGAGAGGAGCGCACACATACTCATTCACACACGCAATCACACGCACAAAGTACTTCCACACACGTGCGCGTGCACACGCATACACACATACGGTAAGGACCTCAATGAGTAAACAGCTACACTGGAAAAACTGGCTGCTCCCTCTATATTGCAGATTATATATACTGAGAAAAAACCACATTCAGTGCAAAGTTAAAAAAGCTCATACTCCAACATTGTCAGCAAACAAACGCAAAAAAAAAAAAAAAAAAAAAAAAAAAAATTAAACAAAAAGAAAACGTTAAAAATAAAAAGAATTGGAATTCAAATAAACATGATGAATGAAACAAAAAATATATATATAATAATGAGCTCGACTGAAGCTTTTTTCGGTCTGAAAGAGCACTACCTGGAAGCAAATATCCATCCGTTCACATTATAGAATTGGCCTGCATGATTCAAGTATTCCGACTGATATGTTTTTGGGCTAAAACAAAGTGGACATATGTGCAGAGAGAAACGTAACTTGTTTTCCACAGGGGAGACCCCGTTTTGTTGAATATCTTGTAAGTGAGAAAGAGTCCAACTAGTGCCATTGCGTTTATAACTACATTTTTTTTTTTTTTTTCATTTTCTTCTGCTGATTATTGATAATTCTCTACTGACGCTTCCCCCCAGCCTGTTTGATTGGCAGGCGGTTCACATGGAGTCCCCACCCCCTGTCAGGTGATCCACCGGGAGGAAGGAGCTGATTGGAGAAGGGCTGCTGATCCTCCCCGCCTCGGTGCCACTGGGGCTCCCCCACAGGCTACTGGAATAGTTGGGCCCGCCCCAGAGGGAGGAGCTGTGGAGATCGCTGCTGTTCCACTGGTTAGGTTCAGGAGCGCGGCTGGGAAAGGGGTGAGACTGATCCATTCTGCTCTGAGAGGAGCCTATGGCCTGCCAGCTGGAGGAGGGAGTGGCCAATGACTGCCCTTGTGCAAAGAAACGGTTGATTTCCTCCTCGCTGGCAAACTCAGCCAGAATAGTAGTGTTCCCCAAAACACACCTACAGAGAGACACCAGGTTAAAGTGTGTGAGTGTGTTGCTTGCACACAAGTACCAAGGTTACTTAGCGAAAGCAGTTTATGCGGGCAGTCATACGACATGTTTACATACACTGTGGTAACGTGGTTACTATAAACATGTGGTGGAAGATCCTCCTTCCTGATTGTATTGTTTAATCAGGGTGTGTGTGTGTGTGTGTGTGTGTGTGTGTGTGTTGGAGGGCTAGTAAGAATTTTAGAAATGATCACATGTTCAGAGGTGGAAACCATCTTAATTAGACTATGTTAGACTAGTTTGTGTTCGTCAAACTAATATGTAATAATGTCTTTTATACCTCTGTTCTGCTGTCAGAGATATTTTCTCCTTCTGAAATTAATTTCCTTTTTCTTTTCTACATGCGAACATGTAAAAAGCTGGGTAGAAACCTGGTTAGAAGAATACATGGCAGAGAAACGGGCTTCTTCCATGAGAAATCTAGCAGGGTAAATTTGGTTTAAATAATGCTTTACCGTGATTACAGTCACTGGGTTTCTCAGATGTTAAAGCAAACTGGTGAAAGGTAATAGTAGCATGGCTATCTACGCTCATGTAAAGGCACTGAATGAATCGCAGCTGCAATAAACAGGGACAGATTGTATAAATTTAAATATCCCATTCATCTGTCTCACCATTAACTATTCACTTCATTACAGCAGGGGCATCTTATCTAATTTAATAAAGGACTATAATAGAAAGGTAACATGCTCACATACATGCTCTATGCATGTATGTGATGTGTATGAGTGTCTCTGGTGTCCTTACATGTGCAGGCTCTTCTGGGCCTTGGCGGCCTCATCCTTGGAGCTGTAGCATACCACGGCGTTACCGTGCGGCAGGTTGAGGTGGAATGTGATCAGAGGGCCATGCTGCATGCACAGGGTCCTCAGGGTAGAGCCGTCAATCTGGGAGAGACACACAGCGGGTTAACAAGGACGGTGATATTAAACTGCTGACAATTATCATACACAAAAATCTCCTCTAAGTGTGCAATTTTCTACACAGACTCCATAAACACTTGGAATATAACATATCAATAACAAAAATCACACAGATTAATAATAATGTTAAATTCATGTGTGAGTACCTGAGGTGTGAGATTTTTCAGAACAAGCCATTGGGTTCTCCCTGAGCTGCTGCTGTCACCCCAACTGGAACCTGCAAATGCACACACATTGTAAAATCATAATCAGCTATGGTTATGTGCAATTCAGATAAAATGCAAGTATACAAAGGTAAAACGACTGGAAGGGTCCAGGTCAGAGGTCCTCAGCCATAAAACTTGAGTGAAATCATGTACGTTGCACAAATGTCACCTTTACACCACCTCTAACCATGAGAAATCAAAATGGATGGTGTCATAGGGTGGAGTATCAGAAACTACTATGTTAAAACAAAGAAATATTTTTTTTTTATTCAAGGCAGCATCTAAATAAAACTCGGAAAACAAATCTACTTACAATCAGTAAGAATTTAGTTATTTTTTATCTACTGTGCAGAGGTTAAGAGGAATCTGTAAAGGCCGTTGACAACATGTTAAAAATGTGATGCAGTGTATCTCATCTGACTTCCACCAAAATTCTTCTGGAAAATTTGGAGCACATATTAGATATGCATACCAACCTGTATTGTGTTGTTGTTTGTGTTGGCAAATAATTTTTTTTGTGCCTATAAAGTGTCACAAGCTCTCACCAGGTGTGTATCTGGACTCAGAGGAGCCCCACCCCCCCAACCTCAGGGCAGAGGCGTCCCAGCCAGAGGAGGCGGGGCTGGGCTTCTGGCTGGTGAGGCCAGGTGGTGGTCTGGAGGGGGCTGCCACAGACAGCGCCTTGGGAGGGAGGGGGACCTTCCACAGCTCATGGGCTAGGGAGGAGTTGGACACAGAACCGCCGCCGGGAGACCACTTTGACTCACTGGGTCTGGCTGCAAGGGGAGAGGAGAACAAAGTGAAACATTTTTACATCACTCTCATCAATTTTCACAGATCTGCTGACTGTCCTTCTTAAACATGTGCAGCCTGAGTGATGAGGAAGGGGGCAACAAGATGTCTAAGACTGAATTACAAAACAGGAATACATACCTGAAGTGCTTTGTGCTGTACTGGTGAGGGAACCGCTGTGGCTGGAGGCACGAATGGATGACCAGGCACTGTTAGAAGGCATCGTGGTGTTCAGTGATGAGGATGGCCCTGAGAATAACAAAAAGAAGGGTTAGTACTTGTGAGTGTGTTTAGGTTGTGGCTGGAGCAAGGGCATCCTGTCAAAAACTAATCCTTTCAAATATCTTATTAAATCAATTCAGGTTTAGTTTTCCACATGTTTAAATCACAACTTCGCAGAACCAATAGTGACATTGTTTTATTTTGTTCAACCAAAAGTCCAAATACCCAGCAATATTAAGTTTACAGTGATAATGACGAACAGTGATGTGTGAACATAGTCTCATTTGAGAGGCTGGACTCAGAGAATAATAGTCAATTCACTATTTAGTATTAATTGAGTATCAAAATAGTCAATCAGCTAATCAATTGATGGACTAATTGTTTAAGTTCTACTATTGATACACACTAATAAGGCTTAAAGACCCTCTAGGAATGATAATTAGTGGTGGAATGATAAAGAGTGGTGCTTCTTTCTCTAAGAAACCATCCTTGGCTGAGACACTGGCTTACAATCGATAACTGATAATTGGCAGTGACTGCTGTTATCTCATGTATTAAAACTGACAGCTGCTGGCTTCAAATTAAACATAGTTTTACACATTGGTCACTGCTGACAAAAAGAAAAAAGGGAAAAAAGGTTTACCAACTTGCCAACTTTACCAAAATAAAAAACTGAACAAGCTTTCGAAATTCAGCCCCAGTTTGTGGTTATGTTTGGCCATGTGTGTGACCTACCGTTGTTCCTGTCCCTGAGGTGGTCTGTGTCGCGGACGGTGTTGATGGAGAGGTTGTTGATGACACTGCCGGGGGTCACATAGGGGTCAGTCTCAGGGTCAATGTTGGGGTAACCTTTCCAAGGCTCCCCGGGCCGGAACTCTGCAGACACAGACGGACACAGGGATTAGCAGTTTTCAAAGCAAACATTTCTCTTGTTTTTATGTTTGTGAAAGCAGCTCTACCTGGGGGCCACGTGACAGTGTTTCCATGGGGCGGGGGGGAGTTGGCACGGGGCGGCCAGCCATCACCCACCGAGCCCATTGATTGGCCGGGAGGACTCAGGGGAGATGGGCCAGGAGACAGGAAGTCATAGAAGGGAGAGTCCTCCAGACGCAGCCCAGACGACATAGCACCTGTGGGACAAACACAAATTAGTCATGAGTATTTTTTTATAAGCATGCAAGTACAGAAAAACAATGTTTCAATGACAACAGTGGAAAGTCTACCAACCTTTTTCACACAAACATTTGTTTAGAATAAACATTTATAACAAGGAGACAAACTCAACAGCCACAGAAATATTTTTTTTCTCCAAAATTAATGCATGGTTTATGTTGTATTGAAACATGTTCCATGCCATGATTGAATATAGGACCAACCTCTAACAAATGACCCAAGCTACAAACTTTTACAGCCAACTTTAAAAACTACAGGTGGTCAGTGTGCAGGAAACTTTTTCTAACTTTCTTTGTGGAAGCTAGAAGTACAAGATCACCTCTCCCAGAACGGAAGATCACTGAACAAATAACTAATGGCTCAAAAACCAACAGGTTCAGTTTGATGCTGCAGGATGTAATGTCACAAACATATACAGGTTCTTCTGTACCAGGTTTGCTGTTCTGCTCCAGAGGGTCAGTAGCCCAAAGTTTCTTCAGTCTGGACTGGGGCGGCTCTTTGTAGCTCACAGCTCCGCCACCACTACTACCACCACCAACACCCATGTCCAGGGATACATTCAGGTTAGAGTTCAAGCCTGATAAGAAGGAGGAAACAGGAGAATTTCAATTTTGTCCATCTGAATTTAAATATATGACAAAATTGGACAAAGCAAAAATGGCAATATACATATTCAAATATATAATATATCTTTTACCGAAAAATATCCACATAAATGCATTGCCATGCAAGTTTGGGGGGATATACTGATTACATTCGAAAAACATACTTAAAGGGAAGTTGCTGAAGGATCCGAGAGCGGCAGCATCCTTCTGCATCTCAGGGGCATTGTGGGACAAGTAGTTTTCCAGGTACGGTTTGAGAGGTGGGGCCTGTTTCAGCAAAGAGGGGTCCAGATGACGTGGGGGCTGCATCATTGATGGAGACGAACCAATAGGACGTGTCTAAGGACAGGAGGCAGGAGGTTAGAGAAATCAACCAAAGAGTCAACACCATAGAGACACTGTGCCGTTTCGCATCTTACATTGTGTGTGTTTTGTTGCAGGATCCAGAGAGATTTTAAAAACACACACACCTGTTCAGTCTGTCGCCCCACAGGCATGGTTCTCTGGCTCTGAGCCTTCTGCTGTTGCTGCTGCTGCTGCTGCTGCTGCTGGAGAAGAAGACGCTGCAGAAAAACAACAGGATTAAAAAAAAAAAAAAACTGTAAATAATAGTTGTACTGTCTTTTTTTCAAATCATAGAAACAATAATTTCTCACTTATGTTAAAAGGTACTGTGAAATATCGATTTGTAATTCTCATACAGTTTTATTTTTGGAGGCTAAAATTCTAAAACTAAATGCTATATTTGGCAGCAGAAATTTTCATTTTCTCCACGCTTGTGTGCACGTGTGTTGAAGTGCATCTCTACCTGTAACTGGTTGATCTGGTTGAGCTGTGACAGCTGGTTGAGCTGGGAGAGTTGGTTGAGCACAGCCACCTGCTGAGGGCCAAACAGGGGGTTCAGACCTCCGTTACCTCCTGGGTACTTCAACAGGGATGGAGGGACCTAAACCCAAATGAAAGTTTGGTTTGAATTTATCCAATGCCAAGTTTTACTTTGAATTTCATGTTTAACACAAATCAAATCTGTAAAATTCATAAATTGATTGCTTAAGGTCATAAACCATCATGGGTATTTACTAGAGCTTTAGAGATTGCCTCTTCCCACCTAACCCCAAGCACGAGTTAAAGAGTTCTTTTTTTGCATTACATGACAACATTGAGTTAAGTGGTGTATACTGTGATTATCCATCTCAGGTGAGATTCAGATTCCTGCAAGTTGATTCTCATACTGTGATGAAATTAAGAAACCAGTGGCTGCTTGGAACATAAAAAATGCTCATCATTTGAAAAAGCTGTGGTCTGATTTTGAGATTGATCAACATATGTTGTCTTGAAAACGCTCAGTGTGTCCACATTCGACACACTGAGACATTTAGACTATTACAGAGACGAGACCAGACTTGTCAAACTTTGTACCATAAACTTTTATGAGCAGTAGATGCAATGATAAGTGGTGTGTTTTGTGGTTTTGTGTGTGCTACCTGAGAGGGCAGGATGGGTGGAGGCACTTGGTTACGAAGGTTGGGTTGGGGGGGGACCTGGGACTGGGGGCCGCCTCGGCCCTGTGCTACGCTGCTGCCACCCAACATAGGGTTTACATTCTGAGCAGAGAGGACACAAAAAACATGCACTGTTGTAACAGTCAAATAACCATTAAAAAAATCATAATGTAATGAAACTGACACAAGAATGGGTGATTTTAAGATCATAGGCTATTAACTCGTTGGTGAGTGCAATCATAAATGAGAAGTTCCTTATTGTTGTTGTCTTGTTAGTGTCTCAGTAAGAGTATTTGGCAGACTGAAGACACAGGATCCGACTTGAAGACAACACCCTCCTCATTCTTCCACACTCACCTGCCGAGTGGCCCCAGGACTAGAGTGGGCAGGAGATGGCCCAGAGTTGAGACAGCGGATAGGCTGAGCAGAATTGGAAGGGGAAAAGCTCATGCTTTGATTGGAGGAGAGCTCATCAGAAGCTGGACTATCATAAGCAGAGGGGGAAACAGACAGCTGCAGAGGCAAGGCCAGGCGCACAGCAGATGGACGGCAAGCACAGAGGGACAGGAAGCACATCAGCAGCCAAAGAAGTGCAGAGAGGGAAGGAGAAAAGAAGGAAAAGAGTTAATTTTGCAGAAGAATAGAGGGAGGAGCAGGAAGAAAGAGCAAGGAATGTGAGGACAGATGAAAGAAAGGGAGAGACGGTGAACAGTGTTTGAAAGAGTGAGAGAGTGGAAGGAGTAAGACGGGATAAGAAAAAAATAGAAAAAGAAGGTGGCACCAGAGGATGGGAGTAAGAAAGAGAGAAACAAAAGTAAAAGACAAGCAGTGACTAGTGCTAAAGGAAAAGCAGCAAAGCCAAACCAACCCACTGCAGCTTTTTGCAGGACAATGAAAGGGAATGAATCATTGCTGCATGATTAGAAATCACTTGCAAAACCTCCAATTGTTATTATGATTAAACATCTAAATATGCATATTTAATTTTTCATTTTTTTGCTGATAAATGACGCAGCCTAATTAATAATTTGCAATGATGAGTTGCTACATCATGCAAACAGCAAGTATTAAATGAAACATCCATTTCAGTAGTCCACACTTCAAATGCAGTGAGCTAAAACGACCACTGTGGGGCACAACAGGGCTGAGGGAGCACTACCCAGCCAGATGTTTGCGGCAGCTTACATGCACGAGACTGTCTCCACATACCTACCTCATGATCGCTGCAATAGTAAAGAGGCTGACCACATCTCAAGTATTTTCTTTACCTCTACCTATTGTACACCCAGGAAAAGGCTGATGTTTCTGCTTACCTTGTCATAGTAAGGGTTGCGATCCATGGCAGACTCCTTGTGGAGCTGGTGTCGAGACCCAGGGTTCTTCCCCATTACTCCATTGAAGTCTCCCATACTGCCCATGTCCATACGCTTGTCCTGCACCATCCCTGCTCCTGTCTTCATGGGGTCGTCAGGAGAGTCTCTCTGCAATGGGGAAGACAGAAAAGAGTAAATATCTTGCATTCATTCTTCAAAGAGAATTATATACTTTCAATACTTAAACCGATAAGAGAATAAAGAGACACTGCTGTACAGAATTCAATTTGGATTCAACTATGGCTTTCTGGCTATCTGTCAGTATAGCTCCTCTGATCATAGAATAATCTGAATTATTATGGCCATATATAAATTCTTGTTGTTTTATAGTTGTGACCTCAGCAATAGAAAGTGTGTTTTATATATGTCTAAAGCTTCAGGCAGAGAGTTGGCATGTTAAACATATATGCCATAACAAACTATTTTATGAAAAGATGTTTTTGCCATGTTAACACATTTGTTTTCATGATAATGTTATCAGAAGTTCCATATTCACTACATAATGGGAAATGGTACTTACAGGGAAGTTCATGCCGCTGAACTGGTTGATGAAAGGTTTCATCCACGGTTCATCCTGTTTGTTGACTGGTTTGTTCATCTGAAACAACAGACAAATAATTTTAGAATCATCTGTCTGGCTGAAACATATGTGCTGCAGTCAACTAAAGGTGGCTAACTTTGACATATAATGTACTTTACCTCAACAGCAGGTCAGCACGTGTTTAAGAGTTGTGTGTTTTCATGTTTAAAATGAACAAATAGGCAAGGAAAAGGTCAACAAACCTTGTTTCCGCCTTTATGCTTGTAGTTCCAGGTGTTTTGGTCATGGGACCTGTTGTCCTGTTGGCTGTTGCTCCACATGCCAATCTCCACTTCTTCTTCCTGATCCCAGCTATTACCCATGGACACCTCCTCACCACACCATGTCTCCATGGGCTTAGGACCTGGAGCTATCAAAGGGGAAGGGAAGGGAGGAAGAAAGTGAATACCAACGGGTGACTATTTGATTCTAGTGTTCATTTCAGCAATTCCTACAGGGAAATCCTCTCTCCTGACACCTTGCACAGAAATCAAGAGTTCATGATCAGTGAGGACTGTTTTAACATTATTTTTTCTGAATAATCATGTTCATGTATGCACCTACCCGACTTATGCTGGCTGCCCCATCCAGAACCGGACTCTCTGCTGTCCCTGCTGGGTTCATCCCAGCCGGAGCTGCTGTCCATGGGCTTCCCCCAGGCAGAGGTCCCGTTGTCCACTGTAACAGGCGGAGCAGCGGCTGGCTCCCCCCACGATGAGGACTCCTTCTGCTGGGGGTATGGCTCACCCCAACCTGGAGGAAAAGAGAGGGAGTCAACCATTAGAGCTACGATATATTTTCTGTGGTTTTGTCTTAAACAATAATGACGATAACTATGATATTTAAAAATTAAATATTGATATTGTGTTAAAAATTACACATGATAATATTGTGATGGCCTTGTGGATCTTTTTTTTGTTTAATCAGTTCACCTGGCTGCCCTTCACTACCCATTAAGTGTACACACAATGTACAAAGTTAAAGATGAATTTGACTGATAGCTTTATCTATTTTTAAAAAAATTTTTTTTAAAGATTTTCCATACATATCGCAATAACATCGTTATATATTATGTGAATTCCTTTAACTACAATAATCGTGAAAATCTGATAATGTGACAGCTCTAGTTTAATGTCTATCAGTATTTGTTAGAAATTATATATATATATATATATATATATATTCAAAATTCTTTTTATTTAGCACAAATACTGTTCTCAGCAGTGAAACAGGATTAAACATACATACAACCACATTATTTAAGATATTTGTTTTTTTTTGGTAATATATCTCTACCAATAAGGAGCAGCTGAATAAGGCTTGTTTAGCCAGAGGTGAAATGAGTGTTGGATCATGTGAAGGGTAACATCAATGCCCCCAGTACATACAATCTTTCTTGAAACGCAACTGACTTGTTACCAGCAGAGAAAATATAAATATAATAGAGGTTATGGAGACAGCCCTGCTCATATCCCTGGGGAACCCTGCGTCAACTTGCTTATGTAAGTGTTACTAAAGTGTTACTTTAGCTCTTGTGGGTGTGTAGATGTAGACCCCAGTTCACTTTCAAATGTGATGCTGTGTGTTCAAGTGCGTGCAAGTATGAGTTCAAAAGGCTCTGGTTACAGCTGACCACCCAGGCCTGCTACTTTCTCCCTCCACAGGAGGTGTTTGGGGAGATGCCAGGGATACCTCCCCGTAAAAATAGGACAGATCATGGGGTGGCCTCAGGGTCCAGTGTCCCTCATGTGACTGAGCATGCTCGCACACAAGCACTTGCACATAACACAAAGAAACATGCACACACAGCCACTTAGACAAACACAGAGGTAGACACAAATACACAAAATGTCACATGCATGTCTTAAGGCAGATTTGCTATACATGCACAAATGGTGGTGTATGTCCATCTAAACAGATACAAAAACACACACACACAATCTGTAACCCTATTCTGCATCTATTGCTCTGTGTCCCTGTCTATGTAGGTGCATCAGCTGATCTAAATACAAAAGGGGAGATGAACAACTCAATATGCGTGTGTGCGTGTGTGTATACGCATGTGCATGAATGTGTTGTGATTTTAGTTGCTCATATGGGCATCTAACAGCAGGTTGAAAATATATTTTATTTCTAAAATCAGAATCAGCATTTTCAACAAGTTTTCAATTTTGCTTTTGAAATTAATTGAATGGTTTTATTTTTGTATCTCTGAACACTTCACTCAAATAATTTTCTCTAAATATATCATTTAGCTGTTTAGCTTTTGTACTTTTGTTTCAAAACAAATAAAACCCACATTTACTAAAATGAATCACAATCCACAAATTCATTATATTCTCTCAGTACAGTAGCTGGCTAGCTCACCCCACCCTTCTTCGCCACTTCCACTTAGCTGCTCCAGTTAGCTTGCTAGACCAGCAACCCTGAATAACCCTAACAGCCCCTCCCCTTCTCAGCCCACTTCTAAAGAATAGCTGCCTTACTTGTTTTAGTTTCCCATCTTACATTGGAACCATTCCTATAACTAAGTCACCAGACCTCCTCCTTTACTGCCTCTCTCGCTCTCTCTTTCTCTCTCTCTCAAACCCAACAAAAGCCTGTGTCTCTACAGCGAGCAGAATTGGCGGGTGAGAGAGAAAGGGAGGAGAAAAAAGGCGAATGAGAGAAGAGAAAAATCGATGCTCTTAGCATTCCAAAGGGATGACTCAACCTGCGTTACAAAAAGCCCTCAGCACAGACAACACTGTAGGGAGATGGGAGAGAACGGGTGCACATGTTTGTTTCCTCTTTATGCTTCTGTGCAAATTGTGTATGCCTTTTTATACAACCGTGAGTGTGTGTGCATCCACGCTTCTTGTGTTTGTACTGTCACAATCAAAATCCTTTCATGAACATATTTCACCTAAATAAATAAGTGTGTGGGTGGGACTTGCACCTTTTTTATCCATTCTTAAGGCTTACAGACTGCACCAGAAGGCCTGCACTTACATGCTCGTACCTTTTTAGAATCAGACTCATGTCCTTGCACTTTCTATGCCAGTATCAAACTAGAAGAAGTAAAACGTTACTCTGTGAGCTAATGCACCTACATTCACTACATGCTGTAAGAACTATGCATTTGAGAAACTAGAAAAAGAAAAAAAAAAAGAAATTCAATAAAACGCTGTCATTCAGGAATGTTGAGATGAAAGTATCCCTGCAGGCCAAACAATTTAAGATCTGTTGTAACCTAGCCGACCACATCTACATGGTCCTAAAATATAAAACGAGCCAGTGAGAAATGGCAGTGTAGGAATCCTAATTTTTCAAAGGTATACATGTGTTAGAGGTGTGTGTGAACGTGTACATTTTCTTTCTGCCTATTTGTTTTTTGTAGTCAAAGCTGTGTGAAAGATGTTCTGACTGTTGAAACTGGGCTGTTTGACTTTGGTAACGTATTTCATTGAGCAAATTGATAATTATAAGTAAGTGTATAAATACAAACACAAGGATGCGTACATGCCTGAATTGCGTGCATGAGTACATATCCCAACTTACCAGAACTGCAGCTTTTTTCCTGTGCAACAGGCTGCATGGGCTGAGGAGGATGCATTGAGCTGTGTGCTGGGTGGGACTGGTGCTGAGAGGACATACCCATGTTCTCCTGTTCTGATTGGCTAGTCCTGTTCCACATGTTGACAGATCCACCACTGTATTTGCCTAGAAAGAAAGGTTTAATTAAATGTTTTGTCATCTGCTAAAAATGACTGCCGTCAGCTGAAAAGGAGAAGCCTGGAATTACATCTAATCTTGTTCTGGCCTTGCACAGCTCTCCTCCAGACAAAAAACACCACAGAAAAAAATGGATTAAGTGTTTACCAGGGTCTCCCCAAGCTGCAGTGCCATCATCGATCTCCATCCTCCGCCGTATGGACTCTGGAGAAGGCTCTTCCCACCCAGTTGCCACTTCTTCCTTCTGACCTACTGTGGGCATCGGGCCTCCCAGCCAGCCTAATGGAAGAATAAATAAATGTCCAAAAGTGAGTCATCAGTTTTATGTCCTCCCACTTAAATGTCTTGCTATAGAGTGTAAATAGATGCCTTGTAGTCACTGTAAGAAGATATAGGCAGCAACAAAGTCAAATTTGCTAATAAACAAAGGATAAATCTTGTTTGAGACCTTGATTGTGATGGGGTGAATAGTCCTAATAACTACCTGTGGGCTTGTTAGAGCCTTGATTGCCTCTGGACATGTTGGATTCAGGACCTTTACCCCACTCGTTGGAGGGCTTGGGATTCGGCTCACCCCAGTTCTGGGCTCCATGGTTGTTCTTCACTGGCTCACCCCAGCCCTGGCTGTTACTCTGAGAACTGGGTTTGTGGACTGAGTCGCCCCAGTTGGAGCCTGGGTTTGGCGTGCTCTGGTCTGGAGTATTTGATCCTCCACTCCCTACCCACGTGTTGCTGCTGCTGGTGTTGGTTCGGCTAGGCTCGCTCCAACATCCAGAGCCAGACCGGTCACTGTCGCTGTCCCAGCCCACTGAGCCTGCACTTTTTTGGGGCTCCCCCCAGTGGTTGTTGGCTCCTCCTCTGGTACCATCCCCACTGCTACCCCAGCCTTCACTTGCATTTCCACTACTGGAACCCCAGCCCTGCTGCGGTTTGGGTGCATTAGTCCATGTATTGGACCTATACAAAAAAAAATGAAGGTGATCAGTAAAATGGACAGCGGACAATACTGACTGTAAAATGCAGAGAAATGATACCAAGATATCACTTAGTGCCAAAAAACACAGAACACATTATTTACCTGTCATCTTTGTTGAAGTTGTTGCTCCAGGTGTTACTATTGGTGTTGCTACCCTTGTAGCTGGATCCATCATCCCAGCCACTCTGCCCACCTCCTCCACTTGCTGGGACTTTGCTGTCCCACCCAGAGGTTTGTCTCTGCTCTCCCCAGCCAGACCCTCCTGTATCCGTGCCTGAGCTGCCGGGCCTACCTCCCCAGCCTGCAAGTAAATGAAAGGGAGATCAATTTCTTGCTTTTGTGTTCTATTGCAAAAGCAATTCTTGCACTAATTATGAATATTTTTATTTATTTTTCTACAATGTATTCACACAAAAGCTTCATACACATTATGCCTCTACCTCCAGAGGTCTGGGAGGGAGCTGCCGGTGTTGCTGTGCCCCAGCTGGAGCCTCCACTGCTGTGCTTTCTTTCATCTCCTCTGGGACCCTGGGGCTGATTGTTAGGAGAATTGACATCCCAGGCGGTGTTCTGCCGAATGGGTGTCTGACCCCACCCAGTGTTGGACAGAACTCTTGGGTCCACATCGGCCCGGGTCAGAGCTGTTATTATTGTTGCAGAATGGGTACCTTTTCTGCGGTTTCCCCCTTTTGACTGGCTGCTGTCTCTGTCTGAGCTAGATCGGCCTCCGGAGCTCTCTCCGCTTCCTTCACTTCCTCCAGAGCGACCCCAGCCTCCAGTGACACTCCCCAAGCCATGACTTCCACCTCCTCCCCCTCCACCTCCCATGCCCATGGCGTCATCCTCCAGGCTCTTCCAGCCATTGTTGGCAGAGCTTCCTTTCTGACTTCCAGCATCTGAATGGTTGTTACCAGGAGCTGCTGATCCCCATTCTCCATTTGACATCTTGGTATTTGATGTGGAAGAAGATGATGAGGAAGAGGAAGAAGATGACGCGCTGCTCCCCCAGGGACGAGGTATCCCCGCTGGAGGGCCCATCGTAGTTTGGTTCCCATTTCCAGGTGTTTGGCCTGCAGAGCCTGGGATTTGATTTGAGCCAACACCCCAGGACAAGTTGCTCTGAGGCTGGTTTGGGTTATTAGTGGGCCCCTGGTCCCAGCGTGGGGCCCCAGTGTTATTGTGGTTATTATTACTCTTGTAAGCAGCAGTAGAGGAGATTTGGGGGTTCCCAGCCTGCATTAAGGCAGGGTTTTGGGGGTTCACAGTGTCTGCATTTGGGGGGCCCTTGTCTCCAGGGTAGGTAGTTGCGCCCCAAGGCGTACCGAAAGCCCCAGGACCCCCCAGCTCTCCTTGGGGGTTCTGGGGGGCTGATGAAGGGTTTCCATTGGCCAGCGGACCCCCATTCCCTCCTCCAATGGAGCCCCAGGAACAATCCCCACTGAGTTGGGGTGAGGCGGTAGAGTTTGGTGGACTAGAGGTCATTGTGGCGTTAGTAGTAGTAGTAGTATTCATCATAATAGTGTTATTTGGTCCATTGGATTCAGTGTTAAGGTTGGTAGGCTGCAGGCCACCATTTCCACTGTTGCTGCTTCCTAACACCTTGCTGCTTGCTGTACCATTATTCACCTCAGTGTCTTCCATCATACTGCTGTTGTCTGGAGCTGCCATGCCACCCCAGCCCAGCAAGGGGCCCTGTTGGGGAGCTATACCCAGTTTGGAACTCATCCCCTGAGCCTGTGGAGGCCGCTGGCCCTGGGTCACTGGGCTTGGGGTTGGATTCTGTGGCCAGGCACCGTGGTTGGCATTTGGGTTTAAAGAGTTTGGGTTTAACCCTCCATTGATGCAAGGGGTGCTTCCGCCCGTGGTGATCATGTTGCTGCCTGTCTGGCTGCCCCATACGCCACTGTTATTGACGAGCTTGATGTTGTGGTTACCCATGTTATTGCTGCCAATACTGCTGGACCCAGCCACAGAGTAGTGGGAGGATCCGGTGATGTTATTATTTCCATTATTTGCACCGCTGATGGTTCCCATCCCTCCACCAATAACCTGACGACTGTTGCCGTTGCTGTCTCCATTCACTGAAACGCCGACCATCATGGCAGAAGTCACCAAAGAGGAAGAGGGTGAAGAAGTCGTAGAAGACACAGAGGAAGAAGCATTTGCTGACATCATCATCACTGTTGTCACAGCAACAGCGGCAAGGTTTTTCTCTGAGCCGATCGAGGAGCTAGAGTCTGCGTCCATGCATTCTGATGCCAGCTCAGGGTCTGATCCTGACCCACAGCCAGAAGAGGAAGAAGACGAGGAGCAAGAGAATGAGGAGGAGGAGGGAGGCCAGACGGAAGAGTTGGTTGAAGAAGGGTTGTTGGGTTTGTCGGTGCTTCCGTCCACTAGGACTTTCCCCCAGTTGCTGTTGCTGTCACTGCTGCAGGGAGAGCCAGAGGACCAAGGGGATGGCTCATACTGTGAGTCCAAGCCAGGATGCTCCAGACCTGGAGAGAGAAAAGGGTAGACAAGGCAGATCACAGTTAGATTGAAGATTAAAAAAAATATTCCCATTTTCAAAAACAAAAGCCAAGTACATTTACTCAAGCGTTCAGGAAAGGTGTTAATTTACGCTTGGGGTACTATATTAAAATAACAGATGTGGTTTTAATTCCCTCATTCACAGTCGCCTTTCTAATTTTCTATTCCCTCCAACCTTCAGCTGCCCAACTGTTCTGAATGTGATCGGCGCCAGGCCTGAGCCTGGACACAGCTGCCACCATTTTGTCACCGCAGCAGGACCCAAAAGCATGCCAAAGCTATAAACTAGGATTCAGGGAGGTGGAGGACGACCAGCAGCAGGAGATGAGAGATGCGGGGCATAGGGGAGGTGGCAATTGAGTGTGAAAAGAGGGAGGGAGGATGGAGAAAGGGAGGGGAGGAGGTGGCAACTGAAAAAAACTGACTTGGTTTAAACCTTAATATTTTTTTTCCCAAATTTAAGACTTTCCAAGATCATCTGCATTTAGACTTGGTATATCTCCAAAATTAGACTTCAGAGACCAGTTGGGATCCGAGTTTGCTTTCATGGCAATTATGCACACATTCAATTGGTCACAATGGTGCAAGTGCCTAGATTTTTAGTGCTACAAAAACTCTCTCTGTTCTCTGATAGTCTTATTTATCAGCATTTGCCGACAGTCTTTGTCAGTGAAACAGTATTGTTGTAGTGGTAGCTCCCATTCATTTGCAGGGGGAATGCAATGTGAATGAATTATGGTACTGTTGATAACTTACAGTGAAAGTGTTTTAATGTGTAGGCAGTGTAGCAGTCACTGAAGCAGGCCTTCATTATGAAAGAACCTCTTAAAATGAAGGTTAACTTATGTTACCAACAGTTGACAAGATTATGGTCCAAATAGATAGTTTTCTTTTGACAGTTTCGTGTGAGGAAGTTTGTGATTTGTCACATTGCAAGGACAAAAACGATTTTCAGACAAAATATGAAACGACATCTCAAAAACATCGACTGAATTTCTACCTTATAAATAAACTATGAACTTTGAAAAAACACCATAAAGGCACACATCAAAAGCATCAACTGAGGCAGGTTACATCAGCTGAGCAGTGTTTTATTAATTGAATACCAACTTCTTTTTGACAGTTCATTCTTAGTCTCTTGACCAATTGGCTGCCCACCTCTCTCACTTTCAAAGCCTCTTTCACATAAAATGGTTGCCAGCCATGTGTGCTGCTTATCGTGTTTGCTTGCCAAGTCTCCTCTTGCACTCTTTCACACCCACTGTCTCACTCATTCATCTCTCTGTCTGTACTTCTGATTTGCCATGAATAAAATGCATCATCAGTCAAGGTCAGGTCAGACTGCTTCTACCCCTTCTGACAATCACAAAGCAGACAGTCAAGGGAAGACATTGGAAGATCGGAAGGGAGAATGAAAGGCAGTAGAAAAGAGGAAGAAAGAAGCCATGTGTAGTCACCTGTTTGATTAGGGGAGTGGCTGACGGAATCCCGAATGGGAGCCATGCCTGGAAACAGAGAGAGAGGAAAGACTGTCAAACAGACTTAGAGGGAGTTAGAGATAGAGACAGAAAACAAACAGAGTGGGGAGATGTTAGATGCAGTGAAGGCAGATAGATCATTCACTGAGAATCAAGCAAACAGAGAAGAACACAAGCGTTAAAGTCAGAGGGGAGAAGGGATTGCAGGTAGAGTATTAGTGGACAGACATTGCTGGAATCTGAACCTAAGATAATAGTTACAGTTGGTTATCCAGGTTATAACATAAAGCATAAAATGTACCATTCAAATGTGTGTTAACTAACGGTGTCAGCAAATCAGCAATAAGTTGTTGCATGTGCATGTGGACACAACACTAACAAAACACAATATTTTTATTTTGCTCGATATTACAGCTGATATGAATTTAGAGCAAACCAACGCATTTGAAAATATTTCAAAATAAACAAATTCAATGTCCCTTAAAAGAACTTCAGCATTTTTTAATATGCACCTTAGTTCAAAGGCCACAAATCTGGTTCATTACAAGATAGACAGCTTCTTTATTCCTGCTATTTAGGAAAGAGGAAACTCATCAAGAGCTGTGAGCAAGAGCATATCCACATTTTAACATTTAGTGCCATTTAAATGTAATTGTCTGAGTGTTTCTTTGTCTATCCAAGAATGTGAACATTGGCAGACAGTGTGCTTGTGTAAGCAAGTGTCCTTGACTGCAATTGAAGATGCAGACGGATCTAAGTGAATGTAATGCTCTGCTGTTAGCTGGTGCTCTTTTCTGTCTTTTCAGAATTTACCTGTGAGTGCGGCTTGTGGCTGCGGCTCCTGGCTGGGCAGGAGGGCGTCCTCGGGTTGAGTGGAGAACAGGTGACCTCTGGTTCCCAGGTCGACAAAGGGGAGGTCAAAGGTCAAAGCTCAGAGGACACAGCCTCAAGGGTCTGAGGTGAAGAGGCGGGGCTTGTCAGAGCGGGCAGCAGGCTGATCAGGCCCCCTTGGCATCGCTGAGGACTGTATGTCTGTGTTTGTCTGTGTATGTGGGTGTGTAGGTATATGTGTGGGAAGGGGGAAAGGGGGGATGTGGTTTAGATTTAGGACTCTGCCTTGACTTGGTATTTTCTGGCACTGCAGAGAAAAACAGGAAAGGACAAAAGAGGAGAACAAGAAGGTTAGTTTATCGCACTGCATGCCCAATATCAACAACTTTACAATATCGATCAGTTTGTAAACCACTCAGTCACAACCTCACCAGTTGACACCAGCGGTTTTCAATCATATATTTCACACGCATGCCTTTATGCATCAGTCCACAGGGACTCAGAGGAGCAGATGAATCAATAAAAACACCATTTCTCTTGTATAATTCTAATGTAGACCTTCTAACACTAGAAGAGTGTATTGGACATGATCAGACCCTGTCATACAGGAAGTAGTGATGTTTACTTTCTTTTATTTGTGTTAAAGTGACAGTGGGAGGGTTGGCCTTGTCTAGCCACTATGAAATTAGTCAAAGCTAAAGTAATCTTGGTTACATTTTTTAAAACCCTGTGATAGCTGTGATAGTGATGGCCACAAGGAGGTTTGCTGTGCAAATGGTTTTGCCACAGACCAAAATGCTTCTTGAAGTACTGAAAACAAGAAAATTATTGAGCTTTTCTTTGGCTTCTTTGGCTTGTTTGATGCTGTCTCCACTGTCAACAATCCCTACCAGCATCACGCCACACAAGCAGATCACTATTCTTATGGTCTCCACGTGGCAACTCCTTAGCCATCATATCCCTGATGCATAGTAACACGCATAGTTAAATTTCAGAGAAGGTGCGGGTCAGTTCTGGCAAAGCCAACAGCACATCTATGAAAGCTACATGTGCTGGCACTGAAGCCAAAGTCAGAGTTGCCAGTAGTGGCACCTCCAATGTGCAATTGTAAATGTTAGGACATGAATGAGGGGTCTGTGTTTTCTGATTCAGTGCCACTGCTGTCTGAACACAGCCTTATCCCTTCCTATTGTTCTCTTTCACTTTCTTTCTCCTGTTGAAGGAGACCAATTATTCCCATCTGTCCTCAGCCCTGCTTATGGTACATTTTGAATGTTACACAAGTATGTGAGTCAACTAAGTTAGTCAGAAAAGTAACATGAAGAAGGAGGGAGAGAGAGCGCCCCTATACCTTCTCCTCTTGAGTGGGAATGAATGTGTACAAGTTGGACTAGATTAGGGTTATACAACAGGCTTAAAGCTGGCAGCACTGCCCTAGGACGCCATGGCAAGCAAAACCTCTTATCCTAGAGCAGAGAAGTAGCAAGGTGACAAAGACAACAAGAGACAGGGAGGTAAAGACAATAAAAACTGAAAGAGGACAATGGCATGAATCAACCGAGGGGAGAGGGACACAGACATCCTTCAGTGAAAGTGGACCACTGTATTTGACAGCAAGAAGACAAGTGTGTGTACGTGTCTCCTGACCTTTTCTCTGAGCAGGTTAGCAAGTGTGTTAGCTCTCTCTGCCTGCTGCAGCAGTACACAGGTCTATTTATAAACCTTCAGTTCAAATAGCAACCACTCTGTTCACTAGCCAACATGATAAGAGGCCAAACAAACCCATGTGTGGACAATGAACAAGTGTGCAGATGCAATGAGGCATAAATGTGTTACAACTTTGGAAAATTTGGAGCAAAATTTAATGATTCTTATGTGCAATGCTAACTGCTTATCGTAGTCAGAATAACCTCATTCCACTGAAACAAAATGCAATCCAACTATTGCAACTCATAGTAGGGAAGAAGTTTCTTTCAGAAACACAGCTTCCAGTGCTATAAAAGCCTACATAGTAACCAAACACACTTTACTGAGGCCGAACTCCACCTTTGTTAACTCACAGCTCACTAGCTAAACTGGGCACACAGCCAGCACCTAAACATAAAGCCTGCCAGAAGCTGCTTAGCCACCTTCTGGAACCAATCAAAAGACAGACAGGACAATGATATCATCGTTACAAAAAAAAAAAAAAAAAACTTCTGACAAAGTAGCCTAAAAGTATTTTAAAGAAGGTGCATTATCCAAAAGAAGAAAAAAAAGAGCAAGTAACACAGCAATTTAAGAGCGTGGACTGTGGAATTGACCTGCTCCCTCTGGCAGCCACTGTGCTAAAAGGGCAAACCCCCTCCAGCAAACTGAGCTGTTTACTTCCATGAATCTTGACTCAACCTTCCTACATGGAAAGACCTCTGTCAACCCCAAAGCATCCGATTCAAAGTGCCTACGCAGGGATAACCATTTATCCTTATAAGGCAGTGCACATCTAAATAATGTAGGAAGATATTTAAGACTTTAGTTAAGGTTGTGCTCATCATGTACTTAGCCGCTGTTGGTGGGTGTTCAATAATTTTGAGTAAAGTAATGATTTTTGTGACCAGTATTGCAATTTAAAGTGAAATTTTTTTTTTCTTCCATAAATTAAACTTGCAGCCTATATTTGTTGCCTGTGTAGTATTGAGTATATACATTTAATAGAGCTGAAACAGAAAGTTAATGTGCTATTTTGATAATAAATCAATAGTTTAAGGTTCAAAGTTTTTTCCAGATAAAAAAAAGTGACCTTGGCTTTAAAAACTTGCGAAGGACATATTTCACTATTTTCTGACATTTTATAGGCACAAAGATTTTCAAAATTATTTAAGAAAATAATAATCAGCAGATTTATTCATAATGAAAATAATCGTCAATTGCAGCACTTTTCTCTGCATATTATTTAATATTATAAATCTATGAGGTTTTTAATTAGAAGGACTATTCATTTATTTAGCTAGTTAGGAATTATTATAATATTGTTATTTTCTTCATTATGTGAAATTATTCATGTGAAAACGTTAACAATGCTCATTACTGGTGTGTGCAAGCATGTTCATCGCTGGTGCTCAGTACATAGAGTACAGTTTGTTCCTCTTTCCCCTGCTTCCATCAGAGAACGGCTTTCATGAGGGCCCCTGGAGTTGGCAGCAGCTCGACTGCTGCTATCATCTTACAGACAGAGAGGGTTGGGGTGGGGGGGGAGAGGGAATATAGGGACAAGACACAAACAGGGTGCAGCTGAGGGGAAGAGAAATATGCAAAAGAAAAAAAAAAAAAAACAGAGGATACCAAGGTAAGGAGGAGGGAAGAGAGTAGACAGAGTGAGAGAGAAGTGGAATGTGATAAAGGAGGGAAAGAGGCAGAGGCAAGAGAGCCTGTCATTGAGGTTGATGTAAGAGGAATGCAACTGCAGCTTCTAACATGTATAAAAACCAAAGAGGTCAACTTCCTGAAGTCAGCAGCACATAAACGCAGTACATTGTGTACTCCCCCTTTAACAGAGTAAGAAGCAAAGGAACTAAAGAGCGTGAGGTAAAGCAGCCAACATACTGAATCCTTGAACAGTGGTAAAGGAACAACAGAATTAACCAATGAAGGGTTTTGGCTTTGTTTTCTACCTTAACACTTACATAAACTAACATGGAGAGTAGAAGTAGAACAGAAGTGGATTTAAACCAAGATACATCCAAACAGACATAAGAGGTTGTTTTTGAGAGCATCTGTTCAAGGAGAAAACCTGTTTTAAATACAGGTATATCTGTTTGGACAATTGAGGCTACTTGAGAGTCTTGAGGAACTGTGTAACTTTCTGTACTGCTAAATAGCAGGTGTGCTTTAATAAATTCAAAAAGCAGTAAACACATAATCAAAATGTTATCCTGTGATGAGTTAAAGTGAGATGTTTAATGGGTTTTAAATGTTTACGACATCACTTCACCATAGGGGCCCCTCAAAAGGTCTATGTTTCTTATTCTCAAAATCTCTGGCATTTCTTTTCTCACATATGTCATTTCCACAACGGTACACATTATAAATATATGCTTAAATTGGGTCTTGTTTTAGACGACTGTTCTATGTTTAGAAATTGATACCAAACAATTACCGGATAGGCCATACACTCACAGTCGAAAGGTTAACAAACGGACAAGCAATTCATTGTACAAGTTTTGCACTGATTGACTCGACTGTCTAAAACACTCTGGATGCAATTGAACATTGTTTTTAGCTACAGGCACTCTAAACATGTCCTGCTGTTGCTATGCAACTGCAAAATCTATTTGAAGCATCATGCTTTTGTTGCCCAAAGCTGACAAAGTCTTTTAAATCATTTGCATGGGAGTAAAACACAACAGGCCTTCAGCAAGAAACCTTAATGTAGAAAATGAAAAAAAAAAAAAGGTTGCACCAAGGGCAGGCGGTATAACAGGTATAGAAAACAAACAGGTTCAGATATGCACCATTATATGGATTTGGCTGTACAGTTAGTCTGGGTATAAAATGGATTTCATCCGTCACATTAATCAAAGCACACTTGCATTGTGAGAAAAAGGTGGGTGAAGAGACACATACCAACTACTGTATGTGTCATAAATATTGCGCTGGAGCAAACACTTCTCATACGTGGATATGTTTCCTCATCTTTTCATCCCACCTCTGTAGTGCTGTGTTTGAAAATCTGCTCCAGCTTCAACACACGCACCTTGTCAAATACCCCTGATGCTTACAGACATGTTTGTATATTTATTACAGATTTTAAAAATATTAGATATTTAATTTGATTACCTTTAAACTTTGTTTAATTTATTCTTTCTCAGAGCAACCCCTCTGAAATGTATTTTCTAGAGCTGATGTAACCAGTAAAGTTAGGGAAGACCTTGCTGTCATGGCAACATTCCTAAACACACTCAGTTCCTCTGGGCTTGTCCGACCAAGTTGACATCAGTGCAAGAAGCACATGCCAGTGTTTCTCTCAAACACGTAAAGCTGTGGAGAACCCTGGGAGTGAAAATAGGCAGTCTGTATCTTTCCTGCTTTCATGTGAGATCAACGACGACTGAAGAGCGTGCGTGAAGTGTTACCAAGAGGTGCAATTCACGGGGGTGACTGTGTTGCACATGTCTGCCTCACTTTCAAAACAGTATGCACTGCCCAAGATTACATGTACACTGCAAATGTGTTCAGGAGCAGATAAGCACGTTCATCATATGGTCCAGCAATGTCGCATCAACTTTGGGAGGGGTTTGGAGGGGCACCAACACACAATCCAAACTCAAACTGAGGGCAATCTGCACAAAAGTACAGGCATCAGGTTTTGCTTATGACTCATTAGCTGATTTGTCCATTATTCAGTCATCCATTTGACTTTACACTCACCAGTCCACCCACACCCAGGTTGGTAGTGTTTGCCACCAGGCATGCTCAGAAACTTTTGTCTCCTCTACAAATAGTTTAAAATTAGTTGTTTTTTTGCTTTAAAGATGCTGGTTTGAGCCCGGCAGCAAGTGGGTTTTCTTCAGTCTTCTGGGAGTCAACCATGCTTCGCTATTTTATGCTACGCCAATTGTTATGTATTGCCAGATTCATGTCTCTACACTAAACTGCAGCAGTGAGGGTTGTGAAACTATTTCAAGCTTACAGGACTTCTACTCTTATCAGTCACAAGGTGGAAAACAAGCGTTAAGTGGTTATGGGTTATTTTCTCTTATTGTGAAATGACTGGGGGTTCCGTCAACCAGGTTTAATCCTGACAATTATCAATTATAACACTGTACTAGCATAAGTTTACATTTTTCTTTACATGTAAGGCCACAACTAACAATTATTTTCATTTTCATTTCAATTAATCTGCTGCTTATTTTATAGTAACGAATCCAAAAAGTAATCACAGTTTACTAAACTGGAACCAGAGCTTATTTGGCATTTTAGGTTGAAAAATTTAAAATGAATCCATAGTGGTGAAGATTAATTTTCTGTCAATTTACTAAAACAACTTGTCAGTGCAGTTCTACTAATCAGTGTGATGAAAAAAAAAAAAAAAAAAAAACAAGATTAAAAATTGTCACGTTCCTGCTGGATTCAAGTCCAAAGTTAACTGATCATGAATGCTACAGAGCTTCTGAGAACTGAAAGCAAATTAGTCTATAGACTTGCACTATAGTAAGTAAGTATGGACACTGAGCCTTTCAGCAGTATAATGATTACAGTCTTGTTACTGTATAACCATTATCTGGGGGAAGAGCTTCCATGACAATAAATGGCTGTGCCAGTTCACACTCTGGTACTACAGAGACCTAAACTCTCAACTCGTCTGTTAGTACAGAGACAAATCACCACATGTAACAATACAGTCAGAAGGAGAGACAGAGCTAGAGACACAGCGGAGGAGTGAGGACAAAAAGTGAGACTGAGAGAGCAATTGAAACTCAAAAGACACACTCAAGGTCAGAGATATACACTATCAGACTTCCTGCCTCAACTAGCCATGACAGTAGTTTCAGCTGTAACAGTAGTAGGCTCGTACACACAGGACTCAATGGAAACTGTAACAGCAATTCAAATGGAAAACGCTACTACGTCACATGGCAAAGTACTCCAGCATTGTCAGAGCAAAGCACAATGCATTACTGGGACAGAAAAACAGGGATAGGACCCAGACCATGCAGGGAGGAAAAGCTTTTGGAAAAATAAACATTTTGATATTTTAAAACTCCTGACGGTTTCATAGCTTAAGTGAATAAATAGTCTTATATTAGTTAATGCGAGTGTTGGTTTCTGATGTTGTGAGCCAAGCAGTTTGTGGATTTTCTGCTCTGGTTATTTTTATACTGAACCAATTCCTATCATGTATTGCCAGATTCATGTCTCTACACTAAACTGCAGCACTGAGGGTTATGAAACTATTTTAAGCTTAAGCACTGTTCAGTTTTTACTACCCAGAGTACAATTCTGTTGATATGCAATATTAATCATATCCTTGCTTACTGTGCAAAATTGCATTTGGCGGTTGGCAAAATGGGCCTATTGAACACTATGGGAGCTGGACCTTGCTGTTCTAGTGACACATTGCTTATTGTGGATTAACGGTTCAGTTCAAGGCAAACGGAAAATGGTGAAGCAGATGCTGATAAATAACTAATGAAGAAAAGTCCTCACACAGGATTTATGATTTTGCTAAATTCTGTTGTCAAAATAAATGACTCCAACTTTTAAAGTGACCAAAATGAGCTGTTGAATTTTGTGTTTTGCGCACAAACAACTATCCGACACCTTCTCTAACCTTTTGTCCAGTCCTGTATCTTCTTATCCTCCTTCCTCTTCACACTCTCCGTCTTTCTCTCTCTTCCATCCACTGTTCTTCCCTCTATGGGTGTGATCCCTGTGGAGGAGAACAGGAGACACCGTTACTTGCACTGTATCCATTATTATATTTTATGTTTAATGTGGCATGATAAAACTTAAAAAACTGACAAGCCAATCTGATAAATCTAACCTTTAAAACCTATCTGAACTGAAGTTGACAGTGGATGCACTGAAATGAGGGAGCTGGTTGCCATCCAAACAAAAGATTAATATATTCAGTATGGAAAATTTGACATGGCAGATGAAGCGTGCCAACCGCATCCAGCAATATGTTTCATGTTGAGTCAACATGCAGACACATCTGCACAACCATCACTAGATTGACTCTTTTTCTCATGCAGACTCCATCATTTACTTACTGGAGACGAGAGTAGGATAAGCAACAGGGTTTAAGCGGAGTACAGAAAAACTTCATTCTACACATGTCAAGAAAATTTTGAGATGGCTGCCATACTGTCTCACTTCATGATTTTTTAAATCACAAAATTTCTTTCCCATCCACTGTCTTAACATCAAGTAGTGCTTCATTTCACCAGAATTTTTTTTGTGAAATCCAAGTTAGACAGCTATTCTTCTAATTTACAAATTGCTCAAGTAATTTATTATTATGCAAAGATTAACTGATTTTGAGTCTTCCAAAGTCTAAGGTGAGTAATTTTGATATTTGGATTGTTGATCAGACAAAACAAGCAACTTAGAAGAGAAAACAGGTGGACTCAGAATAGAAAAACTATTACACTCAGACATTTGTAATAAAACATCTTCATTGCTCTTGGCTGATCTCTTTCTGTTGCCAAAAAGAAAAGTCTTCCAATTAGTGTCTTATTAGTTAATAATCAGACTGTAGCTTCTCCCTGACTGAGTGTTAAGTTTAGCTGTACTGGTCCCGGTGGGTGTGCAACTTAGCCTGCAGGAGAAAGTCTAATCCGATAATGGGATTACAGCACAGCACGTACCTTAGCTATAAACAGACAGACGCACAGAGATGTTGAAACAACTTAGACAGTCACCACGGCTGCAACATTAAATGTTTAACTATCTGCCACTGTTTTCATTTGATAGTTGCACAGTGGCAATGTTCTTTCAGTATCAATCAAAGACAAGATGATTATGCAAGATTCTGCAAAAGCAAAAATATGTTCTGTAGGATGGAAACAATTACTGCATTCAAAAAACTAAGATCCAAAATATTCAGCAACTAAGAATTATTTTGTTTAACAAAAACTTATTGTGCTCAATTACTGTCTAACAGGCAGAGGCATCCCCTCAAGAGCGTACCAACTCACTGACATCAGTTAAATCTAATGGATAATTTCGTAACTGGCCAGGGGACAACAAAAGCAGAAAATTAGCCACTGGTACATTTACAGTGATGTCGATCAATGTGCATTGTCTCTGTAAAAATAAATGAAAACAAACAAATCTTTTACCATGTCCTGGCCTGAAAGAAACCACCACATCTGGTTTGTCTAGTAAGTGTCAGAGGCACATTTCAGTATAATTTAGAGTTACATATCTTACAAACAGCACTGAGCTGCTGTGAGTAGCAGTGATCAGAGCTAATACTGTAGCTGTGCTATAGGACATTTTTATGAGAGAAAGGGGTCTCATATATATATATACACACACACACACACATACATACATACACACACACATCTTTACTACATGCTGAAGTTTGAGCTTTAGTGTTATGTGTGGAATTACAGTCTCTGAGGAACTAAAGTTTGAAAATGACCAGTGAATGAACTGTGACTGCATTTTTAATTCCCACACAAAAAAGGCTTAAATTTCCCTAAACTAAACTGGTAAATGTGTATAAATGACAGATTGGATAGGATTTTTGCCTTAATCTGTTATAAACAAACCATAAATGCAAACAGAGTTACAATCTTTTTTTTGCTACCACCCTTCTCCTTCTGTTCCCACACTTCCCCCATCTCCTTCCTCCACTCCTTTCCAACCATCAAGTGCTTCAGCAGATGGCTCTGGGTTCAACAACAACAACACCAACAGAGCATGGTGGGGGCCCTCCTGGAGAGCACACATACACACCATGGACAGCATCTGTTTATGAATGGACCAACAATTGCCCATCCCCCGACAGCCACAGCTGACAGAGGGAGGGGGACACCTCCCGTCACCAAAAGCAAAAGAGGGAATAAAGAAGACCAAGGCAGTCAGAACAGCAGGAGGGAAAGACAGAAAAAAGAAAATCAAAGTTGCGACTCCAAATATGTTTATGGTTTGTTTTATCTATTCTAGTCAGGATTGTGCTGAAAGCAAAAAACATTTAAACCAAATTCAATCCAAGACCATACATTGCACTTAACGGCTGACAATAACTATCCGCTATTAAAATTGAAGATTTTTTTTGCTTAATAATCTTTTTAAAAGATTTCTTTTTTTTATATATATATAATTTTTGGCCGAAAAAGATGATGTGCAAAGTCTTTTTATCCACTGCCATAGTTTGAAAATTTTAGGGGTGCAACTAACTTAGCATCATTACATTATCAATTGATCTGCCTATTAAATAAATGTTTAGTCTATAAAATGTTCTAAAATAGTGAAAAGGTTCCCCGACCATAAAGGTGGCACCTACATATTGCTTGTTTTGTCTGACCAACACTCCAAAATCCAAAGATGTTCAATATTTTTTCTTTTACAAAGGACAACACACAGAGAAAATGCAAATCCTAACTGAAAAAATTAAAGAGACTGGACACAGAAAATAAAATTTTCAGTTTACATTTTTATGCCAAGTTGTAAAATCCCATCTCATAGTATTCTAAAGCGCTGTGAAGAGTCTTGCCATCTTATAAGCCTGAAAACTCATGGATGTATGATTTCGAACTAGAATTTATAGTTCATACTTCATCTGCAATAATTCAAAACATGTAATAATTGTGGCTTTTGGTACATACGTGATTACTGTTACTGTTCATTAATGAGTCCATTACAACAGACTCATTAAATCAGGCAGGAAGATATAATTGTCTTCCCCTGTTGCATGACTACAGGTACTTGTGAAGAAGAGTCTCTGCAATAAGTTCAGCATGTACAAAACTGCAATTACAAGGTTCACTGCTATTATTTTCATGGGCGTTGTGAATGAAACTGAAGATGTGAAATGATACTGAGAGGATAGATTTCTGTCCAAGTTGCCACAAAATACATTTTAATGCTACTTTGATTGTGTTGCTTCACTCTACAATAAACAGAAAAAAGGGCTGCCATTTTCACTGTAACATACACAACATCACCAGACTGCAGTAGAGGCATCGCTTTCCAAAAATATCTTCTCTCTAAATATGGTCTTTGTTGTGTTTAAAGTGGATAAAATAACAATCTGGACAGTTGATTCCACTATTAAGCCTGTGCTTTTTGGTTTTTCCATCTTGAGACAGAGGGAGGGCTGAAAGGGATAAAGAGCAGCAGAAAGATGAAAGAGGAGGAACATAGTTGTAAAAGGTCACTAGTGACAACATTATAATTGTTGAGAGCACATTTGAACTGGGTCATATGAAAAAATGTTTATTAATCCATCTCTATGTTCATTATTTTGCCCGGAATTTCCCTTTTAACTTGAGGGAATATTGCTACATACAGTTTAAAGCTACTTCTGCCCTTGTGAGATTCATAGCGTAGACAGATTTTTTTTTGTCTCCCACTTGCCTTTTTTCTGACTCCTTTTCTGCCTGTTATCAAATAAAGCTGAAACACTTTAAAAATAATCAAACTATATTTGGATTTTTGAGGTGGTAGAGATCAGAAGTCTGAGACTTAACACTATTGCATTCTTAAACCCTTCAAGATTATTTTCGCCCCCAGCAGTGAGTCATGCAGTGAAGCCAGCAAAGACTGTTGAATTTATAGAAGACAGAGTATTGATTGCATTTGTAGCCTCGTGGAAGTAGCCATTTTCAGACAAACACACCAGACATACACCCAAACATAACCCGATAGACAGGAGCATCTAAACACACTCTCAACGGGTTCTCTGTCCCCGAAGAACCAAAACCGGAGGGGTAGTCGCGTGGCTAATTTGCATGTACAACGCCACATCATTTGCATCAATTTGCATTAGCATGTTCTCACAGAGGACAGACATTGGAGGCTCCGTTCAGGAAAGCCATCACTCAATTAGTGAATGACAGCGGGTATCTCTTCATCACAAGCAGCCCAACAGGGAGGGCTCAAAGAGGCTGACATTGCAAGATGTGCCATTTCCAGTCTGGCTGTATTAAACCTGTCGTTTCAGCCGAGAAGTCAAGATCAGGCCAGTTCATTTCAGGTCATGGTAACTTAAGAAAGGTAATATAATATTTCTGGCAGAAAAAAGCTCTTTAATTTTGATGCTGGCAGAGGAGGGTGGGACAAGTTGTGAATCAAAGTATTTCCTGCAGCAAGGTGTTTTACAGGTTTACAATTTTTTTTTTTTTTTTTTTTTACACAACTGAAGTCAAGATCAAAGGAATTGTGGTATATGGCAAATTCAGTTTACTTCAAATATGTACACAGTTAAAGATATTTCACTATAACTGGGTGGTTTTTCAAAAAGACGAAGCTATGACATATGACAACCATAGTAAGCCATTACACAAAATTTTGTTAAGGAAAGTGCAAAAATTACAAATTGTTTTTCATTTTTACAATAAGTGGATATGTGGCATCAATCCAACTGTGACTCCATGGATTGCAGAAATTTGTATTACATGTTTAAATCCAAAACCATTATACCACTGATTAAATGGAATTATGGTCAAACTTTTGTACTCAACACTTCTGCCTCACAATCTCAGCTACACTAATTTGATTCAAATAAATTCAAAGTCAAAGACACAACTGTCCATCCACACCGCTTAAATGATTTGTTCACGTAAAATTGGCTTTCTGTGGCTTGCATCCTGTTTTGAGCCTGCACAGGTCAATGGTATCAAATGCTCCATTCCAGCTCCTTGCTTGTTCCAGTCTCATGACCACCTGCAGGTGTGGCTTTACTGCTCAGAGGGGCAATGGTCAACTACCTGATCCCCAACCAATGTAGCAATGCTGCAAGACGTTAGGAATTTATAGCACTGCGGTATTAAATTCTCAACACAACAATCTCAAGTTGGCTATTTAAGCATGGAGCCATTTTATGTAAGTTTACAGCGCAACAGATTCAACAGTTGATGTTTTTCGACAAGAATGACAACATGTTTAGAGAACTGTAATTTGGTGAATGGAGCCTGACAACAATCAAAACTGAAAGTGAAGCCAAACAGCACATTGTTCTACAAAGTCAAAGGAAATAACATTAGTCACAACTAATTACACGTTATTTTGTCATTGTGTTATGACTACGAATTCAACAGGCTCAAACCAATAAACTGGATCCGTGACTATCTGTGAACAAGCTGGATGGTGAGGCTGTGTCTAGAAACTCCCTCACCATTTAGTTTTGCTTATGTACAACTACAGGGCTTCAGAGGAGGAATGTTGAGCTCTTATTCAGTTTTCATCCACAAGTATGTAATCCTCGTTGTTGCCACAAATGCTATAAATATATCAAATTTATGATACTGTGGTTTGCCTTTTACAAAATGCTAGCCGTAAACTTCAGGACAGGACATCTGCTTTTAAAAAAAACATAAAACCACTTCCCAAAAACTATGAATTGAAACTGAAATTGAATTGCCTCACTGTATTATTTATGGAACAAAAACAGTTTCCATCCAATTTACGTAATGAAAATGAACACATCCCAGAGTTAAGCTGAGTTATAGAGGAAAAACATATTTCAGGCTCATGTAAAAGATCAGATGAAACATGATCCCTGTGCGGCAAATCATTTAAATGTAAGTCAGAGATTTAGCTGCAAATATGACTTGTTACATGAAAACCAATTCACGTTATTATACATCTAAGGGTATCAATATTACTTCCCCTTACATTACTTCACACACACAGCAAATATGCTACAATGCTGGGAAAACGTGAAACATCATCTGTCTTTAGCAACAAACTCCAAACAAACCAGCACAATAGAATACTTTATGAAGCCATTAGCGAAACAATATCTTCACACAATGAAACACGGCAAATATATTTTAACAGACACAGGACCCAGCCAGTGTTTAAAACAAGGCAGTTGATAAGGTTTACATGTCTTGTTTGAACAACATACCCCAACGCCGACAACAGACACTTTTGGAGATGAGAACTGTCAAAGAGCAGCGAGTCAATGCACCAGCTCTCTATAATTACAGCACAATCATAATAAAAAGGAAAGGGAAATTGAGCATGACAGCTAAGATTCATAAACAGATTTTGGATTTAAAAACAGAAAACGCATTTAACACGACTCTTAGTGCAGTGTGATGGACTAGTTGTGGTCCCTGCCTCTATTGTGTGCGTGCATGTAGACCAACTGTATGGACACAATGAGCTGCACAAACACCTCTCCACACACAAAACATCAGGACTCTGGCTTCTCATTTAGTGATTTTAAAACAGCAAAGCTTACTCAGCACAATACGGCCTAGACCAACCCAGACCCTCCAATTCAATTCAAACGGAACTGCATGTGCTTGCATAAGCAGCAGCTGCCCATCCTGTGTCCCCCTGACCCACACACACACCCCTTTAGCAGCCCACCGCACACAGACACACACAGGTCCTGCTATGATCTAAAGAAAAGTGGCTAGAAAGGCGATATAAACTTGTACACCTGCTCTTAAATTGAACATGCACGTATGTGTGTGTTAATGTTGTCACACTCACCTGTTAAGATGCTTCAGTTTCTTTGGTGGCAACAGCTTCCAATTCCGAATCTCTAAAAGAGAACGAAGAGATAAGAAGGTTAATCTCTCAGATAGCAAAGACATTTACTAAAACACACCTCAACTACACATAAAAGATAACCTCTGGGTGTGACACAGTTTTATTGGTTTATTGTGACTTAACCCATAGTAAGAAACAACATGTGAGAGGGTTACACAGATAGATGCTAAACCACAAATGGTAAACATCAGTCCGCCATGGTGCACAGGTTAAAAAACATGCACCTCACCCACACCATCTGCATAAGGACAAGCATGCACAAACAAACACTGAGGCTCTAAACCAATTACTATATATTTCAACTCTGCGATGTGGAAATGCCGGTTGAACTACATAATACGGCAAAGCATGACCAGGGCCCCTTAAGCGCAGGCCTTTGAAAGTAAATAGAAAATGTGTGTCTGAGAATTACAGATAAAGACACAGAGTGAATGTGTGTGCGTAGGTCAGAGTTACAGATCTGGTCCTGATCGGCCATTATCTCAGCTGTTGCCTGACTTACAGCTTAACCAACATGGCTTCTCTCGAGCCTGGTATTTTTTCCACCACAGCCAAGACTAACAGTGACCTTAACATGGCATCTAATTCCAGTCGTTGCAATTAAAACATTATGTGGCTTAGTCGCATTTGCAGCGTCGTCAGGCGAGTGTAAAAACTTAGGTGAACACGACTGCAAAACCAGCATAGCGGAGGTCTGGTGTTGAGCTAACCAGCTGCTCGTCTCTGCCGACAGAGGGTGTTAAACGCTCTGATCGAAATACAGCTCTGCAGGTTAACAATTTCACCCCCAAATTTACATTGTTACCACCTTTCACCAACAAAGTGTTGGATGTTTAATGATATTTGAACCACCGCGTCCCATGTGCAAGTCATAAAAAAGCAGGGCAATCAGTCGGAGTCACCACCGAACAACCTACGTCGTCAAATTAGCATGGCTGCTACTGCTAGCTAAAAGCTAACGTTGCGAAGCAGCTAGTTAGCCTACCCGGTCTTATTTTAAATGTAGCAATTATGGTTTTAAATAAACACGGGGGTACAAGGAATCCACAAACTATGTTGGGTTGCTGATAAACAAATATATGAGACATTGATATGTTACAAAATACGTAATATTCTTGACAGAAATGTACGCACAGCTGGCGAGCTAGCGTTAAGGTTAACCAATGCTCGTACTAGTTAGCGTTAGCACAAGGTTAAGCTTCCGACAAATACAAGTATTTGCCTGTCACAGACGTCTTGAAGTGTTAAGTTGTCTGCAGGCTAACGCAATCCCCTGGTTTGTCAGTCGATGCATTTTCCATACACTATTGCAAACTGCAATGCAACCGAGCCGTCTCACCAAGTAAGATGAGCAGGAGGCTAGCTGGCTAGCACAGATCAGTCATGGCTAACTAAACAACAGCGGCTGTTCAACTTATCTACACCAGCCCCCGGTCTCCCTGCTTCTGACTCTCTATGTACATTAGCTCGACAAAAGAGAAGATCCTCTGTTAAGAAAACACCGTAAAATCAACCTCACCTCATTGAAGTATAAAGTGCAACAGAGTGGAAAGGAAAGCCGACTGTAAGGCTAAAAGAAATTCAGCGCGTTTGCAGCATCTACGAGGGGAGGAATTCGTCCTGCATGATCGCCATTTTCTTCACTCGCTGCTGGCTAAAACCTTCTTTCGCTTGAGCTCTGCTTTCCCCTCCTCTCTCTCTGCATTCACTTCAGCTCTGGCTCAGTGTGTGTATGTGTGTGTGTGTTTCTAGAGGGGGGAGACAGGGCAGGAAACACGTTCACCACTTCCTCTGACTGAGAAAACCAAACACAGCCAAAGGTAGCTAAATGGCGTTGATAGAAATTATGAGTAAAAGCATGTGAAGCCAAGCATGTAAACCCCGTCCAAGGTAAGTAGTTGTCTCCCTATAAACCCATGATAAATGTAAGCACAGTACCATGTACAGCAGAGCTAAAAAAAAAAAAAAAATAAATAAATAAAAACCCATGAAAGAAAGATACATGTATATATATATATATATATATATATATATAACGAGTTTAATAAAGACACCACAAATTAGGCTTGAGTAATTTAAAATAAATAGATAAATAAATAGGCTAAATGTTCTAAGCACCAGAAAGTATCTCCCATTACTGATATGTATCTTCCAAGGAACAGAAATAAATGAATAAAAAATAAATAAAAAATAATGATAACATAACTGTAGTGTCCTCAATAGCACACAAAGTCCCTGTAGAAATACACAGTAAAGCATTCAATTATTTGGGCATATTTATAATCCATATTTAACTCTCTATATTGTTTTCTTCTTGTCTCTTTTAAACTGTAAAGTATCAAGATGAGGGGATTTTGACAGTTACTGCAATGTACTAGGTCATTCTGTCATGTTTTTGTTTATTTATTTTTTTGTCCTCAGACATTATTGGGTTATAACAACAAAATCATTCAAGCATTCATATAGGAATCTAAGGAAAGTTGAGGAAAGTTCATGGCAATTATAATCTATATAGCTTAAGATGAAACTGAAATCTACAGTTTGCAAATGTACATTTAAAAAGATGCAGACAGTAGCATCAGTGATTTATTCACTCGGGGTAGGGGAGACGGGCTTTCAGTCGTAGAGTCAAACTCCCACATAAACATGAAGTAGGCTATGTCCACTCTGCTGAAGTGTCCTTGAGCAGAACACAGTGTCTGTCTGTACAGCAGGTGACTCTGACCTCTGACCTCCCTGTGGAGGAGAAATCAAGTGAAATAAGAACATTGTTGCCAATTATATAATTGATCTCATTATTGTCATTATGTTTAATTGTATTGGCTCTAACTCAGGTGACTGACCTGGTGTGCGTGTAAAGCGAGCAAGGGTCTATTACTGTGTGTGTGTGTGTGTGTGTGTGTCAGCAAACCCAGAAACCTAAAAGCTCCCTGCAGTGACTATATTTTACTGGTACATACAAGAGGAAATGCAAATGCTCTGCAAGTCATTGCTGAGTGTACTTGGGAACATATGTTGAAATGAAAGTGAAAATATCTATCACACACACACTCACAGACAAACAAAAGAATGTGGAGAATTTCAGCATCTCTCCTCTGTTTTTACAGGCTTGTCTTAGCCATCCATGCATGGCTTTAGCTCTTATGTAAGAAAACAACACTGAAAAAGAGTTTTTAAAAGAGAGACAGACGCAGAGGGAAAGTGAGTGGTGATGCCCAAACAGCAGAGAAACAAATACAGTGTGGAATCTGCCAACGTTTCACCAACGAGACAAAGGCTGTTGCTGCTTACAGGAGAGACCGGCAAAACGTGTGTGCAAAGCAATGACCATTGACCCAACACTGGCAAAAACAACCCCCAACCTTGTGCATGAATTACCTCCCTTATCTGTGTGTATTTGACTGTGAGGGAGAGTTGGAGGTAGAGTTCATCTACTGCCAATTAATGATTTTATTTGACCAGGTATCAAAGACAGCAAGATTAGATTATACAGTATATAAACAAGTGGGTGAGATCTCAGCCCAAGGGGACTGTTGCCAAATGCTACACAAAGCTTGTTTTTCCCAATAGAATCCTACTGCTGCTGCTGCTGTGCTCATGACAAATGGGAATTCAGATATAATTGGTCTCCAAATGGGAAAATATCCAGCTGATTGTCCCTGCCTGTCTTCCTGCCTTCATCCACTTGTATAAACTTCCTATTTCACAGTTGTTAAGTCATAATTACAAAGCCAGACACCGTGAGGATGTCAGGAGGACACAGAGGTTGTTGGTTTTTTAGCTTGCAAAATAATACCTTTAGCTGTGAGTCATGACTTTTAGACTTCTTGAAGTTCTACCATCATATGACAGTCATTTTCATAAAATATAATCAAGCATTGATATTATTTAGCATTACCCACCTGGGAACTTTAAGCCTCTATAGAGCTATTGCATGCTTGATAGTGTACTGTATTTCGACTACACTTCCTATCAATATCATCTGCCAGTTCAAGTGTATATCCTGTGGGTAGATAGCTAGAAAACTATGGGACACTACAGGATGTACTGACATGATATCAAATGGTTTGGGGCACTTTGACACATGCATGCAAACAAACCTCAGGCACAGCTCACAGGACTGTCAGGCAGTGTAACAACAGCCATGACTGGCATTAGTGCAAACTGACACTACACATAATAATAATAGAATAATATATAATAAATAATCTCATAATCTTGCAAGTTTGGTGCAGCTGAAGGTGAAAGCTTTAGTAACAGATGTAGCTCTGAGATTTATTGTTGGCTTTAACAGAGAAGTTTTTCTCTATACTACAAGTGCTGCTGAAGTTTTCATCTTTAAAATGGCATCTTTTCTCCATGCACCTTGCCAGTAGATCAAGTTGTTCATTAGCCCTGAGTCAAAATTTGGTGAAGTTAAAAGTGGGGTTAACTACAGTATACAGTGTGCATCAGAACACTGAAGCAAACTACCATGGGATTAAACTGGTAGTCTGTAACAAAAGGCTAAAGTCAAGAGAAAGCCAGAGTTAAAACCCAAATAAAGCAAAACAAAAAGAGCAGATAAGGACAGAAGAGAATAGAGCAAAACAGCTTAGCCACACACAGAAACAAATTACAAGCATTAGTAAAATGGTGTATTTTTTACATCTGTGGTAACATCAAGAGTACACAAACTTCTGCCTTTTATTATAAAATGGCCCAGAAACCCTAACCCAATAGTAACCTGTGTGTGCGCAGGTTTATTTGAAAAGGCAGAAAACAACTTTTTGGCTTCTTGTCACAATGAATGATAAATCTACAATTTTGAAACGTGGCTTAGTGTGTGTGTGTGTGTGTGTGTGTGTGTGTGTGTGTGTGTGTGTGAGACTAGGTTTATTGGGAGCTGAGCAGGGCTGTGAAGTCAAAGAGTTTGGTAATACTCTGTGACAAGGCAGTCACCTTGACAGGCAGTGCATACAGAACAGGCCAAGGTTTAATCATTCACACACACACACACACACACACACACACACACACACACACACACACACACACACACACACACACACACACACACACACGAGAACACCTTTTGGTCCACATTTACTGGCACACCACTGACTATGATAAGGTTATGCAATTGCATACATGTGAACCCCTACAACCTGTACACTGATGCACACACACATTTAAGTTTGTTTGTCAAGTTTTATTTTGGCGAGCTGTAATGTTTTCTATGTCCATCATTTTGCTTGTTTTGTACAGTTCTCTCATCCACAGTCTGTATTTCATACACACAGACACAGACACACACACGCACGCACGCGCGCTGTGAACTGTTGCAGCTGCAGGATTTAGGGTGCATGTAAAAATGGGAAGACCATTGTACTGGAGAGAGAGAGAGGGGCATAGAAAATTGGGCTGAAACGTGAATGTACAGGAGGAAAAGGGAAAGTGAGCAGGCAGGAGCAGGGAACACAAAGTTAGTGAGGAGAGAGAGAGATTATGTGGAGGGGGTGAGAGTGCGAGAGAGACAGACTGACAGAAAGAAGAAGGTCAGAAAAGAGATTTGCATGTCAAGTAGTAATAGGCTTGTCCTGAGTACAGACACGCACACTACTAAGCTGCAGTGTTCATAATGCTGCAGTGTGTGTGTGTGCGTGTATGTGCATGCAGTGCATTATTTCTCCTGTGTCTGCCAGCCTCAACTAGCTGCCTCTGCACTTATCACATGTACATTTCTGCAAGTGTCTCCAGTCTAACTCTTGTGTTTCAAAGCCTGTAAAACAACTTACATACTGTATACAAATATATGTGTTTGAGTGTGTCTTTGACTTTGATGCCATTTCTTTGAGTCTGATCCAAATCATTCATCACCCGTTCAGGCTTCCTCCCCCATCCAGTCCACACTTAACATTGCAACCCCTTCATTTTTCACGTTCTCCCTCTTCAACCTCATTATCCTCTCACTGCCTCCACCCTCCTCCCTCACTTTCCATCAACAAACACACACTGACTCATGTGCTATCTTTCTTTGTATTTCTGACTCTCCCTTTATTTATCTTTCTGTTCATTTTCATCGACCCCGGAGCTGCGACAATTAGTTTAATTATTGAATAGTCGGCTGAGAGAAAAATGTACCTGCATCTATTTTGATAATCACATATTTATTTTAGTCATTTTAAGCAAAAAAGACAAACATTTGCTGGTTCCATCTTAGTAAATGTGGGAATATGATGCTTTTTCTGTTAACTAACTTTGCATTTTAGACTATTGGTGAGACAAAGTATATTTGAAGACATGACTTTGGGGCAGTGAGAAATATTACAGGACACTTTTCACAGTTTTCTGATATTTCATAAACAAAATGATTGAGATTCATCAAGAAAATAACTAGCAGATTGATTAATAACTTAAATAGTTGCAGCTCTAGTCAAGCCTGTGTAATTCATCCATTGCCAATTTTAATCTTTGAATGCTACAAAACATATGATCTGCAGTGCATTGGCACAAATTAATGAATTCTCTTCATTAATTAAAAAACTCCTACCTCTTCTAAATGACGGCTTGGTTAATGTTCAGTATACTTCACACTGTGTGAAAGTGTTAAGTAGATCATCAAACTTACAGACAAACCAACACTGGCAACGGTGTTTCCACTCTCAAGTGCAGCACAAGTTGAA